CACCCGGTAATCTCGGGACCCTCGGTTACACCCGATAATCACGCCGCTGACAGCAGCTCACATCGGCCCCTACCGAGCTTCCCGGTAGGTCGGACCTTGGCCAGGTTCACCTCGGCTCTCACACTTAGCGTCCATCAACGCTAACGGCGGTGATCTCGACAGTCCGAGCTGGGCATGACTCATAAGTCGTCTTGGAGAACCAATAGGAGTCCTCCACGTGTCCAGGGTATTCTTCCCCCAAACAGACTCCATATCTAAATTATGTATTATGTTTTTTAATTAATTGGTTTAACATGGCATTTTTTTTAATTATATCATACTTTTTTCATAGAATTTTAAATAACTGTCTTAAAAACATTTATAAGTTTTATATAATAAATAAAATTTATGACATTTAATTATACAGTTATTACATTCAAAAAAAATATTTAACAGTTATTATAACATGATTTTTAATGTTAAAAATTTCCAAAATACTTTTAATTTAAAAAATATAAAAACACAAAATAAATAGTATTAAACTACTCGTGATAATAGAACAAAGACCTAGATATTTGTTAAAGTTTACAAATGCACATGCCAACGAGGTTGAGGATTTATTTAGAAATGTATCAAATTTATTTGGATGGATTATCAAATATGACTATTTTTCAAATAAATAAGAAATAAAAACGATAAATATGAAACAAAAAACAAACCCAAACGTTATGAAATTAGCCCTAATGCAAATTAAAATTTTCAAGCATGTGTAATTAAAATCCACAACATTCCTTAAGTACCTAAAATCACAACAAATCCAAACTAAACCTCAATCTCGTTTCATGCTTCAAGAACTCAATATACTTGTGCGCGATTGAGTTTGTGGAGTCCAAAGAATCGTGAGATTTTATTTATTTATTTTTGTTGTTTTCTAGTTAAAAATTAAAATTCATTTAAATAAGAGAGAAAATTTTAGGTAGTATAGATATGACAATGGTATGGGTGCGAGTGAGGATATTCTCCTCCATTCTCCTGTGAAAATTTTTAATCCCAGTCTCTATAAAAAAACGTAATAAATATATATTAATTATTTAAGAACGGAATCGGAGATGGGATTGAGACATGTCTTTCCTATTTTTGGGTCTTGACTCTACAGAAAATAAGAAAAATTATGGTGGAAAAACTTTAGAGATAAAAACAGATTTCAAAATATAATTTTTAGAGAAAATAAATAGATACAAACATAAATAAAAGTTATTAAAAGTTAGACGAAAAAATAAAAATACATAGAGAGAGATAAATAATAATAAATATTTAAAGTACGAAAAATTTTAAAAAAATAAAATTTGTAGAGAGAAATTTATTTAACTGAATAAAAAATAAAAATACAAAGTGACTAAAAAATTGGAGAAAGAGAAATTTAGAAATAAAAAAATTTTAGAATGATAAATAAATTTTTTAGAGATAAATATGACAAATAAAACAAAAGTTAAAAATTAAAAAAAAAAATCAGATTTGGAAAAACAGAAATCTATTTTTGAAAATTACTTTTTTTTTAATTTACATAACATTGTAAATTGGTTTTTGAAAAAAAAAACCAACACATTGAATTGGTTAGTAAACAAAAACCAAAAACCAAATACCAAATGATTATCAACAGGTCCTGAACGATAATTGAAAAAAATCACACCCAAACTTCTTATTTTAAAAATTAAATCTTACAAAAAAAAATTAGATTTTAACCGTCTCTCCCTTTTTCCTCTCTCATGGTCTAACTGTCTCTCTATGGTTCTCCACTGCCAATTTCAATTTCAATTTTTGAAGGTGTTGTTGGTTTAGGAAGATGAAAGGGCATTGTTTACGACTTTACAGTTTGATTCCGAATTTCAACTTTCAACATCATTACTTCTTCTTCAGCTAGCTGTTCGGATGCCCAGAAAACTGGGAACAAGAATTTAAGATTAAACACAATTTTTTGGTATTAAATTAATTGGGTTCTCAATAATTTATAGAAAGAAATAAAAATTATGCATGGGTTGGCTATCATGAATCTGGATTTTAATTTTATACACAGCCTTGAAACCCACGAAAGGAATTGCTTCTAAAACTTTTTGATAGAAGAGGGACAAGGGAGAACCGTTTAGGATTTTAGTTTTTATAATTAAAAGTTTACTGAAACGTTTATACAAGTTCAAGGGTGAAGTTGCAACAATTAAAAGCGATAATTCCACCTCTACATTTTGACCGTATAATTCTCTCAAACTTGTACTTGTTTTTATTTTTCAAAATCACCCTCCATATGCATGGCACTCCCAATATTTTCTTAATATTATTTAATTAAAACAAAATTCAAACTAAATTTAACTTGAAAAAAATATAACAGAATCTTAAAACAAACCAAAGATATATTAAAAAAAAGACCAACTTTAAATTAAATTTAACTATAAAAAATCTAACAAAATCTTAAAAAAAACATATTATAAAAAATATCGATCTAAAAAAACTTAAAAAAATCTAACAAAATCTTAAACATCATAACAAAATCGACTAAAAACAAAGAAAACCAATTTAACTAATTGTTATTAAACATTTAAATTTTAAACTAAATAAATTTCTTAAAATATTATATCAAATGGTGGTACCTTAGATTATGGTCAAAGGTCTTCAATGTCGTTCCCTGCAATCCAATAGTGTTGAGTCATTGATCTTCAACTCCCAATCACTCACAACTTATTTTTCCTTCACCAACCTGTCGCCACTTTGATCGGTGAAAATTCGTTTTATGCTTATGATATTTAGACTTGTTCTAAGTCTCCACGTAACAATTTCTGAATCATTGTTGTCTGATTTTTCATTAATATTTATGGGGAAGAAACAATAGATTTAATTTAAAAATTTAATGCTTAATTAGTTAAATTAATTTATTTTAAGATTTTGTTTCTAAATAGGTTGTTAGATTTTATTTAAAAATAAAATCTTAAAATAAATTAATTTAACTAATTAAGTTTAAGTTATGTTTAGTTTTAAGTTTTTTTTCTTCCTAAGAAAATATTCGAAGAACGTGGGACGTGGAAGATATATATATTTTAAATGTGAGAGGTGGTTGCCTGCATTTCAGCCGCCTAACATGGTCTAGGTTACAATTTCGTGGCCGATCTAGAAATTATTTTGAGAGGGAACTTCAAGTAAGTAATTACAACATTCTTTTGTAAATATGATCTACAAATTTAGTCTTACAATTTTATAAATTTATATAATATCTATCAGAATTATTGTTTCTTTTTACAACTTTATCGATTTTCTTTTATAATATATCTCCATTTTATATTTTGATCAAATCTTAAAAAATATTAATAAAAATAAAATAAAAAGTTCAAACATAAAATAAAATAATAATGATAATAGTTATACGTACAAAAACGGTTAAAACCTACCAATTTTATATTATAGTCCAAACTTTTAATAAGAGTTGAAACATTACAATTTTCTATTATAGTTCATACTTTTACTAATTATTAGATTTATAATAATGTGAAACAGTCAAATTATAGTATATAAGAGGCAAAGTTCATAAAAATGTATCTTAAACAATAAATCTCCAAATTTTCGACTTCTTTAAATAGTGCAAAATTGAAATATAAAATTATATAAAATAAGAACCACTGAATGTTGAAAATAATGAGTTAGAGAGCGAAAAATACATCAGTACAAGAATTTATACATAAAAAAATATATTACCTATATATAACGGTAATATATAAATTGAAAATAAAAATAAAATTTAAAATTTCATGCAACAATTGAACCATAAATGTCCCACAACTTATATAATATATATATATATATATATATATATATATATTATAAATCTACATCTTTGATTGTAAAAAAAAGACATTTGTATAGAAAATTTGCATTTTTTTAATTTTAAAAATTGATGTAATCTATGATTTATCTCCATTACTATAATTTGTTCTTTTTATAAAACTCACGAAAATCACTTAATTGAAAGAAAAAAATTGAAAAATATCACTAATTGTGAAAAAAGAAATATAAATACAAACTACGGAAAGATCACGAATTTAATAAAAAATAAAAGAAAAAAATTAATCAGATGTGACGCTGCGTTTGAAAACAAAGTATTATTCTTATAAATAGTTTGGTTTAAAGCATATTTTTTTAAATGTTGAAGAAAAAATAATATTGAAAAAAAAATCCTTTTGAATTAACACACGTACATTATACCTAGGCTTCAGCCTAATACTCCATTTACTTTTTAGATAACAAAAAAATTGGCTAAATATGTGTTTTACATATAATATAAGCGAGGGACAGAAATTGAAAAATATCATATAAGCGATGATAATTCATAAATTCCACAAAATTTCAAAGAAACTGGTAAAATGTTTGTTTTTTTTTCTTAATTTGATGATATTTGCTCTCGCATAAATCTTCACTCATTCACGATGTTTATGCAAAGGTCTGCATAAACGATACTTTACGAACCTAGCTCGAACCCGGTCTCCGACTCGACCTGATCACAAGAGTGGACCTGCACAAGAGGGTAAACACTTCGACGCTCAAGTCAGTACAGGTCAGACTCCGTATTTAGCTCAAGGTGAGATTCGATACCTGAGCGTGAAATGAGACCCTCTATTTATAGGTGGGGGATCCGACAGTACTCAGGCGGTTACATGTTTTTTCTCATGTCGGACCTGTCGGGTTCCGAGCAGATCGAACCCCCAATCAGATCGAACTTCGGCATGTATACTTAGTCTTTTCCCAATGGACGAACCCGACCTCTTCGACAGGTTCGAGGCGGAGCTGAGATACTTTTAATTCTTGAACACCAATAATATTATGCAACGTAATTGTAACATTTATTGATGACAATCCAAGAGGCTAACTTAAAAAATATAAACTTAATCAAAAATTTGTAAACAATAGAGAAATTTTTTATCAAACAATTATTTAGCAACAAATTTGTACATTAACTATATATAGACTCGAGCATATATATATATATTTTGTAGCAACTCAAGGACTATTCTATTTATATTTGGAAAATACTTATTGTTTGACAATTAAGAAATAAATGAAAAAAAATAGACTTTTTATAAAAACTAACGGGTTGTCTTTCAACGGCGGTAAGGAAAGATATTCGTCTTGCTTATGCTTGTTTATTGGATTGAATGCACAGTAAATGCTTCTGACTGAACCGCTCTTTGCTTCACCAAAGATGTTGTAATTTTATTCTATGGATTATAGAAGTTAACATTCTTCAGGAAATCAATATTTCGTTAGTGTTTTGGGAAAAGGGAAATGAGGAGTTAAAGAGAACAAAAGCAAAGCGTTCCTCTCCACCAACCTGAAACTTGTTACCAGTCTCGATTGAATGCCAGAACAATAATATATTTTGCGAAATTATTGAATGTTGCCGCCACAATGAATGGGTTCTAAAATTCTACTGGTACATCGTGCGAAGGTGGTGGGCGATCTGTGGTTGGAACAATTTCTCCTTGTGCAGCCGTTTGTGCGTAATCAGATGCGTGTGCCAATCGTAGCTTGATCTTGGCCCTCTTGTCAGAAACCACACAATCATACAGCGTTACTATGTCAAATGGGTAATCTTCTTCTTCAGCCTTCACTCTCTGCAAGTTGTCATCCTCAACCTTGATAATTTCCAAAGCTTCGTCTATTCTGTCTTCACAAATGAGAGCGTCCAAGGCTTTTGCGACGCTGTAAATGTGGGCCTCCGAATCAATCAACCAAGAAATCCTGCTGAATTGCGAGGGTTGAAGAGTCGTTGAGTCCACCACCGTCGGATCCGTCTCACCCGCCTCAACCGCAAGATCTATGCCGTCCACGAGGTGTTTGACAAGATTTGTTTGAGTGGAGATTTCGCCTTTTAGCTGTATCAAATCCTGTTGCATGACTTTTACTTGCTCAAATGTTCTGTACAACAAATACCAAAATTTGTCGATCATTTTGGAATTTCAATGGAGTCAACTATTATAATTCGGATCATATACCTGGAGAAGGAAAGACAGGTAGAAATTATAATTCGGTGAAAATCTCCATTGGATTCAGCCTTAAGTTCCAGGAGTTCGGAACACAGATGATTAATGCCCTGTAATTCAATTCGACCACACAATAACAATAACTTGAGCAGCAGCAAAAAAGGCTGTTCTTCCCTACGAAAAGCAAATTACCTTGGCGGTCATGGATCGAACCTCGGATTCATCGTCCGAGTCATGAAAATGAGCCGGAGAAGACGTGGACGGTGGTTGCATCGGAAAGGGTTTTTCCTGGAAGGAAGCGAGTGAGACAATCCAAACTTCACTCCAATAAAAACATGCCTCCATTGCAAAGCTTTGGTTTCTTCGATTACCTGTGGCGGTTGCTTTCGCCAATTCTTGTTTCGAAGGCGGAGATATCATGTGTACTGTAACCTGTTTTTCTTTTTCTTTTTTGGTCGGCCCTGGAGTTAAACCAATCAACATCGTATTCTCCGACCTCGGAAGCCTCACCGCTGCTTCCTCCATCGGCAATTCCCTTTCTCAATATTTCATATCGAAAGGAAAGTCTTTATCCAATTTATTTTACATTCCAGTCCTTATAGAATATGCTTTTTCATAATCTACCCACTTCATTTATGTAAATTTTGTCTTCATTTTTTTCGGGTTAAAAAACAAGATTTAATTCATGAAATTTAGTCTATGATAATTGATTTTTTTTTCTTTTACTTTTAAATCTGTAACAATTTAGTACGTTTGTAATGATTTAGTCTCTATGGTAAAAAATATTATATTGATAAACTAATGAAAAACCAAATATAAATATTTTTAATTTTGATGAGGTTTTTACAATATGGACTAAATTATTACAAATGTTAAACTATAAAGGTTAAAATATTATATATTAAAGTACATGGACTAAATTCTACTCCCAATTTAAAATGTTACATGACTTAAATGGTTATAACCTAAAGTTTATATGAACTAAATCGTTATTTTAATAAAGTATCGGGATCAAAAATATTTTTTAAATTTTGCATCCCAAGAGAAGCTAGAAGAAACTATGATCATTTTAGATTATTACTAAAAAACACGTGTGGCAGCACGTGAAATTTTATAGTTTTTATTTAATGTTTAAGATATAAAAATTAATTAAATAGCTAAAATTTTT